TGTTAGGGGGTCGCAATGTATATTGCGCCGCTCGGGTGGCGAGGTGGGTTCGCTTGAAGAACTATCCTAAAATGAAAGCATTCCACTCTATCTAGTCCTACTTGGTTTCTTCGGTGCACGCTCGGTTTGACGTGGTCGTCTGCCTTGTTCTGGCTGGTGCGTTGTTCTTGGTGGTCGTCTTGATGGTAGACCTGGACTTGTTGTGTCTTCTTGGCCGCCCGCGTGGAACGGCCGGTTGCGAGGACGAAGAAGCAGTACTCTATCTGGGTGCACCATCGTGTGGAGGAATTGAACTGTGCTTATATATGACCGTGTTTTGCGTTGTCTTCGTTGTTACAAAGAGTTCGTATACGTAGAGACTAGCAATCTCCATCGTCTTCATTCGCTCACCGGGCCGTGGCGGCGGCACGGGGGTTCGTTAGCTCTTCTGTAGTCGCTCTGTGGCGCTTGTGGCCGCGGGTGAGGCTCGTGTCGACGCGCTGGTTGAGGCCTTCCAGGCTTTGCCGTCGACAGCAGAACTAGGCAGTTGGATGAGGTCTTCGAGAGACGCCAGCAACGGCGGCGGCGTCAACGACTGAAGGTCGCGGTGCAGGACGATCGGCAACGTGCTCTTGATGTGGTCTAAAAAAACGGTTTGAGCTGTGCGAGTGTACATAATGTTTCAAAACAGGAACGAGGAACGCGCTATATGCACATTTCATAGCGCAATATTGTACCGATAGTAGTCGTCTATGTGAAAAGAGACGTGCATTTAGAACTTAGACAAGACGACTCGCCGCCGTCGTCGTACCGTCACGACAAGGAAGAGGGCAGACAACGACACAGCAAAACCGGCGCGTGCAACCGGTTAATAGCTGCAAGAGCGGTTGCCGCGTCACCAGCACAAGATACCACACGGCAACGACGAGCAGCAGCAGCGAGAACAGACCCACATCCCAGCGCCACGCAGGGACCATGGCAATCTGCAGCACCGCTTCTGGCACGACGCCAGGGTTCACAACCACCGCACGGAGCACATGAAAGCCAGCGATGAAATTCTGGGCGACCGACCAGACCGCAAGGTCGAGCCAGACGACTGCGACAAGGACCAGGCCCATGCGCACGACCAGTAGGTACGCGACAAGCCGCAGCACGCCGGCGCGCGATGCATCGTCAATGAGCAGCGGCTGCGTATGCTCGGCGCACAAGTACGTGCCTTCGTTCGTCTCGCGTACCAGCGGGATGCGCTGGGACGTCAAGCACACGTGGTTGTGCAAGAGGACGTCGGCCTTGAGCCAAGCAAAGAGCCACGCATGGTAGCGCGCCACAATACTTTCGATGCTGGCATGAGCACGCAGGAGGCGAGGGCCATCCACACAAACCGCGCAGAGGGCGAGAAGCCCGAGAAGGCAGACGCCGACGCCGGTCCAGACGACGTGGGCGAGAACGTACAGCAGCGTCGTGTACGTAAGCAGCTCGCAAGGCCAGACGAGTAGGTGCCAGAGCGAGTAGATCGAGCGCGGGTGACGGCCCATGTGGGCGTCTGGCGGCAGCAGCATGGCCATCGGCAATGGGATCTCTCTGGACGCAGAACGCGAGGAGCTGGTCGCTCGTGCAAGCCGCAAGTGCGACATGCAGTCATGGCATGTTTGGATTGGTCCAGAAAGAGTGCTGGTCACAGAATGATGGTTGTCAGACGGTGAAACGTGGCACGACCTGAGCAAGTGCAATCGCCAGGCGACTACCGCATAAATTGTGGGGACCTAACAAACGTGCCTAATAAAAGCGAAGAAGAGAAGGTCGTCTTTCGAAAGACGTTCTATCGTCCCATCGTCCCGTCGTCCATCGCCATGTCCTTCGAAAGTTGACCTTCTAGCGCCGTTGAACTATAAAATAGATGCCGTATAAAATACACTTGCTTTTTGTATGTATTTTTTACCCATAAATGGATCTATTTTCGGCCGAGTTTCTACCAATGGCAGTGCGCTAAACTTCCAGATACAATCCGGATGCTTGTCAGCCAATGCCTATGCTCCATGAGGACCGCCAGCCAATGCCTATGCTCTATTCTTGATACTCGATCGGCATTGGCCAGTGGTCCCGCGAGACGGTTGCCACAGAGGCAGCAGCGCGCCAGCTACACTGCAAGTTCATCCGTCGGTCGTGCAACGTTGGAGGGTTATTCGACGACCGGCGGCTCGACGCGACCGACTGGAGCTCTCTTGGGGCTTGCACGACTCGGATTATGCGCGGGGTGGTGAGCGAGGGTGCCTTCTTCGTGTACTCGCACCATAGCCTGTGCTCTCTGGGGCGTTGGCATGACGCGCAGACACTCGCGCCGTCGATGGCAATGAGCCTTTCGGCTCTATGGATCGAGCGGGCCGTCCGGGTTCGATCACGGGGCGCGCGTCCCATGCGAGGCGCAATGCGAGATTGATGTCGAATTTGCTGACTACGAACTTCGAGTGTTATGGAATTATTTCATTTTAGACCAATGCCTGTGCGGCAGCACGTGCCTCATAAATAAAAATCAGCCAATGCCTGTGCTCCTAGAATGAATTATAGCCAATGCCTATGCTCTATTCGACCCACAATCTACGAGGTAGTCCCCAATCGCCAGCCGTCGTTGGGACATCACTCGCATGGGACTGGCACCGGTGCCGTACATTGTGCTACGGTAGTCCATTTTGAACCTCGCCATCAAAACTAGTATACTAACACCACGGGCAATCACAGGTTCCATTGACTTCAAGGAAATTCAAGGCGACAGACCACCTAATCCTACAACTGCACAGCGGAATGGCAGCGCTTCTTACTGCAGTGGGATGGCATAACTGAGGTGCGGCGTGTTCTCCGAGGCAATAAGTGCGTCCACATGAAAGAGTCGCCACGTCTTGATATCCAGCAGCACGGTCTTGCGCGTCCGCGGCAGGCGCAGCGTGAGGACGCCATTGATCGCGGCGGAAACGCGATCAATGTAGTACACGCCGTCGAGTAACCAGCCGTCTTGCGCAAAGTGGTGGTACGCCGTGACGTACAAGAGATGCGACCGTAGCCCACTTTCCTCTCGACCGTGGTAGCGCACTCGCTGGAGCAAGTATGTGCCCACGAGGAGCGAGAGCGTGAGCCCGACGAGGCCGGTGACGCGGGTTGGGTCTCCAATGCGAACGACACCGCTGTCGCAAACGAGCTGCATGTCCACAATTGGCACAGAGCACTTTCGCTGCAAGCGCGCCGAGTGCTTCACTGGTGACAGTAGCGACCAGATGGCGGACGCTGCCCAAACCAGCACGCTGCTTGGCGTCGCGTACAAAGGCGTATACTGCTGCGTCCACACGGAAAAGGTATCGTTGAGGATGAAGACAAGCCACGTCGTTTCGCCAGCCGCCATGATCGTTGAGAACCACGACTGCGGTATCGCGACCATGTAGAAGAAGCCATTGGCTTGCGCCAGGTCGAGTTTGGCGGTGGACAAAAGGCAGATGGCCGTGGTGCTGCGCAGAAAGATGAGCGGGCGGCCGATCCAGACGAGGCCCGTGACACGGTTGACGACAAACATGTTCCGGCCTTCAATGTGGCCGCGGCTACCGATGATGTAGCCACAGGCTAGCGACACAACGAGGAAGAGGACGCCCGAGACGTACAAAAGCACACAGCGGGCGTAGTAGGCGACATTGATGGGCAGCTCGAGCGGGTTGATAGGTCCTTTGTGCACGGCGTTGCGGCCTGAGAGCGATGTGATATTTCCATGGACACCGTGAAAGGTGACGACTTCACGCACCCCATGGAGCCACTCGAGGAGGTAGAGGTACCCATACACATGAAACCCGACGTCATTGGGGTCGAGTAGCAACGACTGCGCGAGGAGCGTCGTCGTCTCGTTGTTGTTTTGAACGTACTGGAGAAGCACGAGTGGCAGCTCGTTGGTGAAGTAGTCTGCTATGACTCTCGACGCATTGGCCATCGCGATGCGTTCCGAAAGCGTATAGCGCACGTGCAGGAAGACAGTGATCGACTCCAAAAACGTACGGCATGGCGCCATCTCGACGCACGTGCGCGTGATGTTGACGCTCGGACCGACCGCCAGCAGCGCGAGGCTGCCCATGACGGCATCGACGCTCAGCGTCTCCTCCATGTTGACCGAGCAAGCGCCTTGATTGGTGTAAAACATGCCTATGCGTTGCGACGGCGGTTGCGTCGGACAGAGAAGGTCCCCGCCGACAAACCCATTTACGCCCCATGCCAATGGCGCCATGGCCAAGTCGATGAGGCCGCCGCCAATGGTCTCAAAGGCAAAGGCAGCCTCGGCGCTGGCATGCACCATATCCGCACTGAAACGAGCTGTCAAGAAGCGACTCCACTGGACCAAGACCGGTGGAAAGGCCACGCGGCGCATTGCAATCGCACCAAACGGCCCCAGCGTACGCTCCACAATGCGGAAGGAGATATCGAGCGGCACACTCAAGGACCCGTTCCTGGCCAAGATCGATGCGATCGTTTGATTGGCAAACGCGAAGCGGGGACTCTGCCGCACGAGACTGCTGCCAGAGAGACCACTGCTGTTGGCAGAAATGGCCCACAGGAGACTCGCGAGCGGCCACTGCATCTTGAACGACGTCTGCTGCGTTGTGTGCAGCGACCCATTCGACGACTTGATCGTCAACGGGTAGGCAAAGCCCAGTGCGTTGACCACCGAGTACGTTTCGATGACGCCGAGCGACTTGAAGTTTTGCCACTGCGTTTCGTAGAATCGGAGCCCGTGCTGTCGCCAGTAGGCTGCTTCGTCAGCAATCGAGAGAGGATGCGCATGGAGCGACTGCCGCCACAGCTGACCAGACTGCGTGGTGTCGAGATCGTCAAAGACGCTGGATGCCAGCGACTCGCCCCAGCATGTCTCCAGATCGACTGGGTTGCCGTTGCGCAGGATCGGCTCCAGATACACGGCGCCATTCCGCCTTCTCACAC